GTCTATAAAACCACCACATCTAACCCCTGCTGTAATATGCCATGCTGAGACACATGCTTAGCAACTTAGAAATTCACAGCTAAAATGGCCCTTAAGCTGAATCCATCTTCTTCCATGGTCTTTTCATCAGAAAGGAGGCCTGTTAGCAGAAAGGTGGAGAAGTTAGAGAGATGGATCTATACATGGATCTGGCCATGGATGGCTAAAGTGAGAAAGAGAATGTAAAGCAATTGTCTATATAATCGGAGAAGAAGGCAGGAAAATTTTGAACACCTGGACTTTTCCAGAAGCAGAAAGAGACAAAGTAGCTCCTGTGCTAGAAAAGTTTGATGAATACTGTACTCCAAGAACAAATCTTACTCTTGAGAGTTGAGAGATATAGATTCAACACAGTTCTGCAGAGAGATAACCAGACAATTGATGAATACTTTACAGAGATAAAGAAGATCAGTAAAAACTGCAAGTTTTTAGTTTTAGTAAAGAGTTTTACGGCACTTGCAACACAATAAGGTCATATAAGTGCCGAAGATTAGAGGTGTTACAAGAGAGGAACAAACACAAAATAGAAGGAGGAGAGATCAGGACGATAGACGTTTGATAGGAAAGAAGAAGCAAACCACACCAGAGCACCCGCCAACCACCCACTGCAAGTTTGGAAGTCTGGAAAACGAACTACTCCGAGACAGAATCCTTGTCAAAATAACCTCCCAGACACTAAAGGAAAGGATGCTAAGGGAGCAGGATTTAACTTTAGAAAAAGCACTAGGCATATGCAGAGCTGAAGAGCAATCCAAGACAGGGCTTCAAGTCATGGACCCCAAAGGTGCAGGCTGTGTGGATGCTCTACATACACAGAAATCAGAAAGAAGAAAGGAGCAAAACCAAGAAACACATGTACAAAATGTGGGGCTACATACAATTCACGAACTTGTCCTGCATATGGAACAACATGTAAGGTTCGCAGAAAACCTAACCACTGGGCAAAGATGTGCAGAAACAAGTTAGATGAGAAAGTATCAAAGCCACAAAGCAAGTGGAGGACCAACAAGCACAGGTCGAAGAACAAAAAACATGATATCCATGAGGAAGAAGAAGCTACTTCAAGTGATGAAGAAGAATTCTCAATCACCAGTTTGAACCGTGAAGGAGACAACAGAGAAGAAAGCTTCACAAGGATCAGAGCAAAGGTACCAGAAAAAGACGACAGTACCGCCAGGATCAAAATGAAGCTGGACACCGGTGTAAGTGCAAACATACTAACACTGAAGTCATTCAGACAGATGTACCCAGAGAAGGTCACAGAAGATGATGAAATCATAAACACCAGTTTTGTGAAACAGAGCTTCGCAAAACTAACAGGATACAGTAGTGAGCCAATAGAACAGAAAGGCACTATCACAGTAAGCCTGAAAAGAAGCCACAAAGGTTCTTCATTGTTAAGTCGAATGGTCCAAACATCCTGGGAACAAATGCGTGGAGGGAGCTAAATCTAATCAAAGTCATGTTTCATATCAGGAGCAAAGATATAAAGTTTGCTTTTCTTGAAATAAAGTTTCCACTGTTCCAGTTCCAACAAAACAAAACTAAACAAAAGAAGCAAGGAGAGGAATGCAGGATAAGAGAGAGAGAAAAAAAAAGGGGGGGGGGGGGGGCTGCGTGCTGCCCTGCTCTTCACACGCAAGCCAAGGTCACTTGCCATGGCTTCACATCGACCGCGGAACCTCTTGTCTGCCTTGTCAGCTTCGATTTGTTCAGTTGAAAACCGATTAGTAATCGATTGCCAAATTTTTCTATTAGGCAAAGGCCTACTGCCAACCACTCCATCACCAAAAATATGAGTTTACCGCTAAATCCTCCCCAAAAAATGGAGTTTGAGGGGGGAAAAAATGAGTTCCAGAACCCCAAAAGATCAAGATTACCTAACAAATTACAAATCAGATTTGTTCTTCGACAGGCTAAAAATAAAATGGAGAGCTCCACCATTACTGTAATGGTTGGAAAGCCTTTTTAATGATCTGCACATGGACTTCAAGTTTTGCACCCATTACAAACAGCTTATGTCTGAACTGTGCAGGCTTGGAGGTGTCAGATTTATTGTGTCTGAGAGATACATCTCTCACCGGTGGCTCTCTGCTTTTGACAGGGCCATGGATACAAGGAGGCTTCTTGATGTGTACGTACTGTTTTATTTTGCTTTTGTGCCTGAGCACGAAGAAGCTGCATATCGCAAGGTGTACGGGGACATACTAAAGGAGCTCTCCTCTGCTAAGGCATGTCAGCAAGCCTGAGCAGTTGTTCTTACTTTAAGAGGAAAGGCGAAGAGCAAATCCACTGAAGGAAAAGAGAGGGAAAAGAGAATTATTGACAAGCTCTTCAGAAATCAGCGTAGAAGCATAGTGATCTTGCATCTTTACCTGAGTGTCCTGCAAACGGTTAAGGTTTATGTTCTGACGTTCCAGAAGAAGGAGTGCCTGGTGCACGGGCTGCATATAGAGCAGGAAAAACTGGCAAGGAAGTCGTTGGCGTGCTTTGCTAGGCCAGAAAGCTTAGTACAGTGGAACTCGGATTTAACGAGCTCGGATTCAACGAGAACTCGGATTCAACGAGAGGAGATAGATTCCCCGTTTTTTTCTTCTTTAAAATCAATAAAAAATAACCCGGATTCCACGAGCACTTAAATCAGCAAGCTCGGATTCAACGAGGTCGCTTCCAGGGGGAACAGCCCCCACAGACTTGGCTTCGCTTATTTTTCTCCCAGAACGAACTTTATCTATTCCTGAAAACCATCCATTGCACCTGCATCGTGAACTATTGTTCACTTAGCCGATGGAATGCGACCAATCAGCGGCCTTTTTTCACACCAACACATGCGTTGTTGGCACGTGCACGTGTCTACTCTGGCGTGTGTCGGGGTCGGATGGGCGGCCAGCACATGTGTGACTGTGTCGGGGAGGGGGGGGGGGGGCACTAGCGGTCCGGGCGGTTAACGTCGCAGATACAAACGCGTCACACTGTCTTTTTTTCCCCTCAGCAACTGATCAATATTATATAGGCTAGTATTGTGACGTAGATCTACGAAATGAATTGAGCGTTGGTTTATGGAATCAAAAGTTGCCGTATGCTAGGCTCTACACAGCAACACAACTTTTTGGCAAATAATCGAGATGACACAGGCATGCATTTGAACGAATTGGTCTTTATTTACACAGCTCATAATATGCAGACATTTCATGCTTTACTTTTTACTTCTCTTTACACATTATGTGCTGAGTGCCTGTAATAATCTACACAAAACCTCGTGTTTTTGCTAAAACCAACACTCGGATTCAACTAGGTTTTAGATCAGGCCCGGCGACCTCGCTGAATCCGAGTTCCACTGTATCGCTCTCTGTGAAGGACCTTGTGGACTTTACTCCAACTGAAGAGCACTTCATGGGTGGAAAAGACATCTATGTGGGCAGGACGGTCAGGGAAATGCTGTCTGCTGATAGCAATTTGTCTTTGAGGAAAGACATTTACCAAAAGTTCAAGTGAGCCTACCAGGCATCATCAAAAAAAATATTACAGAAGCTGCCCCTGGGAAATCAGTTTCTAGTGTCAGTGTCTGCCACGGATCCCAGTGGAGACTGTAGTGTCAGCAAACTCAACGCCTTGGTGTCCCACAAGGGGTTTGTGCTGACTGATGATGAAAAGGAGAAGGCTCTTTTGGAATGCAGGAGTTATTCTGTTGACAGAGAGCTACCTCATTTCAATAGTGATGTATGTGTGTGGTGGAAAGCTGTTGAGAACATGTATCCATGTCTCGGAAAAGTCGCTATACTGCTCTTTGTAGCTTTCATGGCCCTTTCGTGGAGAACTTCTTCAACCACATGAAGGATATTGTTGACAGCAAGGCTGGGTCCATGGATATCTCAACATTCAGTGCTCACCAAAGTGTGAAGTATTACCTGCACGCTGTGAACAAAACAGCAGTTACTCATTTTCATTGGCCAGATATCCTGCACACCAAAGTTAATAGCAAACTTGTAGTGAATATGATCAACTCAGCATCTGTCTACAAGGCAAAAATGAAAGCCACAAGAGAAGAGCTGCAGACAGATTTGGACAGCTGCAGATAGGTGCTGCCACTAAAAGAGTGAAAGAGAAAGCTCTGAGGAAATGCCTTCAGAAGCATCAGCAGAAGGCATTGAAGAAGAGAGCACCTGCTGTCCCCTCCTCTTCATCAAGCCAAGAAGAGGAAACTGCAGAATTAAAATGCTACCCCAGTCCACAACTCATCCCTATGCCTGCAATGTAAACTATCTTGGTGAGTTTGGATAACTTAATTTGTTGCTTAATAAATTCCGAAAAATCCTTGCATACTAAATCTGGCATCCTTGCAGGAAAGAACAGAAGAACGTTCAACCAGATGTGCACTGGCACAATCAGTGGAAGGACCCTCACCAACATTTTGGAGAGAGCAACGGAGCATCAATGGACATGTCTGGAGTGCAGGGGTGTTGCTTCCTGAAACAATGAACAATGAATGAATTTGTTGCTTTGTAGTTTTTCTAGGTAGTGATGAAGCATGCACATTCTGGTTTTGTTCCCAGGAGGAGCTTTTACTGACAAAGTATACTTTTCCGTTTACCAATTAAGGCCTGGCTAAAGTTAAATAGTGGCTTTACTTGGTGTGTGAATCTCAATCTTTTTTTAAATTTTAGGCTCAGAAAGGCCAAATTTTAGCTCTTCAATTGAACATTTTCTTCAGCTTCCGAGGAGGCTCCCGGAACCCAATCAGGGCGTTGCCCCAGACCCACTAGGGGCCTCCATTGTGGGATTTTGCTGTCAGAAGCACTGATTACAAAAGTATTTGGCAGGTTTGCATCATAAATTTTCACCATACTTGACCTTGCATTTGCCATTATAGTTTTCTGCCAAGTGATCTACGTAATGTGCCGGTAGTTTTAAATGCTAGGCATACAGGTGAGATTAGGCGCATGTCAAAATAAAGAGTCCAATATACTTCCGCCCATTAGGCAATTTTTATTGATTTTTTTTATAATCAACACCTTGTATCCATTTAAGAAGGCATTTCTATGAGGATTTTACTGAATAATGATAATGGAAGGCACAAAAAATGTAAATTTGCAGTTTCCAAGAACACTCAAGCTTTGGAAGTAACCAAACTTTGATAGTCATTTTCTCGCTAATTTTACCTCCGATAAATGTTGTTTTTTTACCATGAGCAAAACAAATGAGCAAACTTCAAGACGATACCAGTAACTCCAAATGCCTAAAAATCGAAAGAACACCTGATTCCACCGCATCATGACACAAATGAAAGAATCCAACATCCAGGAAGAGGTCACCTCTGTTCTCCCGAGCGCCCCGTAAACAGATGTCGTATGGCCCGTATCTCGGCGGGCGACATCGGCCTGGCATCGGACATCAGCTTGATCATGAGCTGGCGGCTAGAGCCAGCGGAGGTGGTGGAGGAAGTAGAGGGCTGGGCCTGGGCGCCCGAGGGCACAGAGCAGTCAACACTGCTGCCACTGCTGCCCTCTGGCAGCTCTCCCTTCATGTACGCTGCGTCGTCGGCCACTTCCCTGCTTCTGTCAATAGGCACGCTGGGCACCACTTGGTCAGTCTCACAGGTCATCATGGCTTTCCTGGGGAACAAGGAAATCAAGTTTACAGTAGGTACAAAGAAAAAGTTAATACCTTGTCAAAATAAACCATCTGCTACAAGCCAGCCCAATGTTCAAGGCACTTAGAAAAATATTGGCCCAAACCTTGGAAGGGAGACCCAAAATTCTATGGGAGTCTGGAAGACATGCAGTTTGCTGATCAAAATTTTGTTTTAAATTTTGGTAGCAGGAAGTAGTTTTCGTGTAGCAGATGATTTTGAACGAGCATCTAAACTTACCCACAATGTTTTTCCTCAGCCACTACAGTCAAGAAGTCGGTGATCATAACATGTCAAGATAAACGGGCTCTGTTTTTAGAAATTTTCAATAATAGCGATGATTTTAGCAAAGACATTGAAGGCTGCAACTCTGATGTAGATTTAGAGTTCATAGTTAGTAGTGAATTAGCAGAGAATTATACATTTAGAACTTGAAACATCAGGGCCAAGCACGAGTTCCGTGGCAATCGCCTAAGGGAACCAAAAGGTTGTGCTGGATCTAGGTCCAGTACTAGAATTAAACCTACAAAATAAAGAAAGGTATAATTAGATTCTGATCCTATGATAAAAGAGAAGGAACTATGAGTAGATTTAGAAGGCAATTTATAACTAAATACAGTATCAGTTCTAGTGCAAGGCAGCCTGGCGAGACAAAACACTCAAAGGGGAAGAAGATATGAACCATTGCCGCACAGTTTGTGACATTCCCCTTAGCACTGAACCCTGCTTTTCTAAAATTTCATGCAGAAATGAACATTTCTGCTTCAGAAAACTTGTAGGATATGTACCTTTACTACACCTCTGTTTGGACAAGAACTAGAAAAAACTCTGCAGGTGTCAAAATGTTCTCCTTTTATGAAAGGTTTCTTTGTCTTTTTTGTTGCATTGAAATGTTATATTTCTGGAGTTTTTCTGTAGTTCTAATATGGTGCTAGTGGTTCAATTCTTGTGAACTTAAAAAATGCCCAGACTCCAGCGTTTGTGTTTCTGAAAATAACCAGGACTCTAGTGATTCAAAACAGTGGGAGCTTAAGCAGTATTATCTCAAGCGGAGACTACTGTATCATCTAAACTCAGCCTTGAATGCCATCACCGCTTTCCTGTCAAAAAAAAAAAATTAATTTCAAAATGACACATTCTGGCTCAGGTTAGTAAATGTAGACAACACAGAGCCTATTGTACCAGCTGATAGGTGTTAAATCTGAAAGTCTCACCTCATAAATAACCTTACAAGGTTGAAGAAAGTATTAAACACGACATAAACGAACAATTACGGATGAGCAAAAAGCATACCATTTGCCGATGGTGGTCTCAAGGTCATCCACGACCTGGCTGGCTGTCATGCGAGTCTGAGAGTCCAGAGTGAGCAGACGGTGGATCAGCTGCTTGGTGTCCTCAGTCACACGGCCGTCGCTGCAGGGAGGGGGGCACAAGAGAATCAGTGGTAACTTTTCAGTAAAGACAAGCACATCAATGGCCTAACAGTTAGGCTGCTGGGCTCAAAACTAAAAGGTAGTAGGTTCAAACCCTGTCAGGGGTCTGAGATTGTGTTCGTGTGAAAGGCACTTTACATGGAACTTCCTCACTTCACCCTGGCGGCAATGGGTATCTGGCTGCAAACAACAAAAGATCTTGATTAAGTGCAGAGGGAAAACAGAACTGCCCAAAACTTTTGAGTAAACGGAACTCAAGTCGAACCTGCTCTAACAGCCAGCTGTCAAAGACAATCACCTCGTGGTGACCTAGATAAAACTCTTAAAAACAAAACGGCAAAGGGCAGAACCTCTTAAAGCTATAGACGTCTTAAGCTTACGGCCACACTTGGCCGAATTTTGTTTCAGATACACTACACAATAATAATAATAATAAAACAATAATAATAATAATGAATAGCATTAATGCAGCACATTTACACTGCTCAGTGTATGACTCTTTCCAGTCCATTTCCATAATTTACTTAAAAATGTTCCATGAGCATTGTACCGGATGCGTATTGCGGATGGGATCAGATCGGGTTGGATCGATCGCCCGACTCGTTGCCTGAAAACAAACTGAGAAGACAAATCGGGCGATCAGTTTGTGCCACGATAGCCGCTTTGAGCCCTCAATCTGGCTAGCAAACCGACCAGATCCGACCCGATTGTGCCAATGGGCACCAGGTATCACAGTCAATGGGATATCACATTTTAAAATTACTCCTATACTATTGTGTTATGATACCATTGTCTTGAATTTTACATAAAGTCAGTAAGGGTCATTTAGTAAAGATTAAACCAATATTTCCTCTTGATGGACTTTACTGATACCCAAGATCTTGTTTCCAGACATTGAAACCGGCATGATAAAATTGTAACTAACACCATGTTCTTAGTTTGAGTTTAGTTTTAATAAGAGTTTTAAGGGGGGGCTACACCCCCAAAGTCAAAATTCGGCTCAAAATCATGGAATTTGAGTTGTAGGCATTTGTAGCTTCCTCAGCCTCTCCTACAACTATTTCATCGCATAAGAACCCCCAAAAACCGTATTTTTTCCCATACCGGGAAAGTTTGTGACCGACATTTCCTCATAAAGTCAGTATTTTATTTTTCTTTATCAGCCGTTTTCTCAAAACCGACTTTTCTCTATACTTTTTTAAATAACTCCACCATTTTTCAGCCAATCTTCATGAAATTTTCACAGCATGAAGAGAAGAGGTAATACTAAAAATCTGTCCGTTGAATTTTTGATATATGGAATAGATTTTTGTTGGTGGTGTCAGGAGTGTGGATTTTCACGGATTTTTCGCAAACTTGAATGCTACCTCAGGAAAAAATTCATTTAAAATTTTCTAATTCGTTTAGGAAAAAAACAACAGACAAATTTTAAGATCTAATGTTTGTAAACACGCATGCAAAAAAACAATCAATTTCCATGAGCAATAAGTGCGGTATTCATTACGTAAGACATGTCAATAAAATCCAAAATGGCGGCGTATCCATGGAAACTAAACTTTTTTCTCAAATTTGATTGCGGATTTTAAGACTCCTTACTATGCTTGTTATATGTGTGAAATGTGATAAAATTCGGTCCAGTAATAAGCGAGATAGCCTCCAGGTGTAGCCCCCCCCCCTTAAGGTGTTTGCACCACAAATAGATCATATAAGCGGCCAAGATTTGACGTGTTACTTGAGAGTAATATACAAAGAGAAGGGGGGGATGACAAGGATGTTTGATAGGAAAGAAGGAGCAAACCATATCAGAGTACCATTCAACCACCTACCATCATTTTCTGAAGCACAAAAATATCAGTAGTTTTCACACTGAAACATGTAACTATCTAATTTTGTTCGAGTCTCATTGTCAACTAAACCTGGTAGAGTGGGTGGTTGGCAGGTGCTCTAGTGCAGTTTGCTCCTTCTTTCCTATCCAACATCTATCCTCCTTATATCTCCACCTTCTTTTCTTTGCAGGTTACTCATTAGTAACACCTCTAATCATGGGCACGTATATGACCTTATTGCTTTGCAAGTGCCATAAAACTCTTACAAAAACTAAAAATGTAGTATGACAAATACTTACTTTGGAATGGTAAACTCTGCAGACTTGATCTTGCGAAACAGTTCCTGGGGCATGCAGTCGTAGAATGGGAACTGTCCATAGAGCATGGTGAAGAGAACCACACCAAGCGCCCAAATGTCACTGGGTTTGCCGTAGTACGGTTTGCCTGAAACAGATCATAAATCGTTCTGCCATAATACTGTTTGCCTGAAACCGGCTATAAATCACTATGCCATAATACGATTTGCCTGAAACAGATTATAAATCCTTCTGCCATAATATGGTTTGCCTGAAACAGATTATAAATCACTCTGCCATAATACAGTTTGCCTGAAACAGATTATAAATCGGAAGAATTTGATGGCATTAAAGGTCTAGTTGTTAGGCTCCCAGACTCTCAACCGCTAGGTTTGGGGTTCCAATCACGTCAGGGGCCCCAGCATTGTATCCTTGGGAAAGGTACTTTACACAAATGTTCCTCACTTCACCCAGGTGGGAATGGGTACCTGGCTATAGACAGGGAAAGATCTTGTCAGTTTGTAGATGTTTGAGCACTTAATTCTCTGCTTGCATTGTATGCTTCCTGGGAAGCCGAGAATGTCTCCGAATCTGGGGTCTACTGGGGTAATAATAGTTGCAAGACGCATAAACGTGCTGTAGAGTGTGATATCCACTATATAAATGAAGCTATTACGATTTTAACAATTACAGTTTGAGCCATACCATTGTTTGCCTGAAACAGACTAAACATTCCACAAAACTGCAGTAATATTTCAAAATCATTCGTTACCTTTAAATCACTCTTCTTTTTCCATTAGTCACATCCCTTACCATCAGCTATGGACCCTGAGGAATGCTGTCAGCTCAAAGAAGCTCTGTTTTACCATGCGTCACCACACAGAGGAAACAGGCTCTAATCTTAGCTTATCTGATCTGATCTTACCACTGAGCACATCAGGGCTGATGTAGGCTGGGCTGCCCCTCTGGTCTCTCAGTTTGTCCTTCTCTGAGCTCAGGTGTTTGCCCAGGCAGAAGTTGGTGATGGTCACTCTCCATGTGCGACGGTCCACTATCATGTTGCCCAGCTTCAGGTCACGGTGAACAATATTCCTCTGGAAAAGCAAAAGTTGTTTGTTTGAGCAAAGAGAAGCACATCGGCACAATAACGGTCGTGTAGTGCAGGAGAAAAGCAAGCCAGACAGACAGAAACAACAGAGGGAAAAGAAGTAGGACCTACCAGTGGCATCCTCCTACCAGCCGCAAAAGTTGTTTCTTAGTTTTTGTTGCAGTAAAAGTTTTACAGCACTTGCGACACAAGGTTGTATAAGTGCCAAAAATTTCAAGGTGTTACTAGAGAGTAACATACAAAGAATAGGAGGAGAAGAGATAGGGATGACAGACTCCCACGCACATTCTCACATACAAATAAAATTTACTGGCAAAGGACAGTGTTGAACAAAAGTGTCTTCGGACATGAATTACCTTGTGCAGCTGTTCCACAATTCGAGCAATGTCCCAGAAAATAATCAGGGCTTCTTTCTCTCCCAGCTTCTTCTCTTGGATGACGTGGTGTTGAAGGTTGATGAGAAAATGTGAATCAGCATCGTAATCATGCGGCATCAGACAGTCGACCACAAGACACAACCGCTGAATTTCACACTGGCTCTTAGAATCCCAGGCCTTGTCCTGGCAACAAGAGAAGATACAGGTGTAACAATATGGGATATATCAAGATGTCATGGGAGGGGGGGGGGGGTACTTTGGTAATACTTTGACAGCATTTTCAGTAAGTCAAACAAGTGTTGAAGATTAGAGGTAACATACAAAGAAAATGAGGGAAGATCAAGATGATAGATGTTCCATCCCTCCATCATTAGATTGTGTGCAAGACTTTTTGGCCAACTGGAGCAGAGTGCTCCTGACGTTTCAAATATCTATTTCTTCAGTGTCAGGCATAATCAGGCCAAGTCAATACCAGCAAATTTTTCACAAGAAGCAATGCACTGCGTACACAAGATAAAAAATAAAAGTAAAAGCTTAGTCACCAGATTTGGTAAACATGTTTATGAGATATTAAGTATTTACAAATGCTAGATATTTCCACATCTTCAGGGGGACCTAAATAAGATTTCCACATCACACATGGCACTGGAGACCAAATTGAAAAAGAAAAACAGGTAGACCAATAGACAGTTATAAGAGTAAGATCAGGGATGAGGCAACCATTCAGGGCCTGGATGAGTCAATGCTGGCAAAAATGGCCAGGGACAGACAAGTGTGGCTTCAACTGCTCTCTGCCTTGTGTACCTGACGGTACCGGGAGGGGGGTTCCAAAAAAGGAAAAAAAGGTGTTTAACTTAACTCTTTATCTCCGCCAAGCCGCGGTCGGAACCACTGTGCCGGTGAGCCCCAGCGGCTCGGGCACATTCCTTTATGAAAACTTCGACATCAAATTACTTTTCGGCAAATTGCCGAAAAACAGGTCTCTTTTATTAGGTAGCATAAACACGGCATCGCGGGCACTCGCAGCCTTCCGAGCCCGTGGTTTCGGTGAAATCGGGGTAATTCAGATCACTGCTACTTCATTCTTTCGCTATCAAACACCAAATGCTGTATACTTTGTAAAAGTTCACCTTTTCCTCATTTCAATGGTGTGAGTTGTTTATATGTCCGATTATCAGGAGCTGGAGAATCGCCATGGAAAGCGAAGCCCCTCGCGATCGGAATGCGTGTTCCGCCTGTTCAAAAATTGATATGCGTGCATTCAAATGCTTCGAGAAAAGATTGATGATTGAATACCGTCTTTTCATTGGCAGAGAACTGTAGAGCTTTGAAAGGGCTTTCCCGTGGTATATTTTTGGCCTTTGGCGTAAAAATATCCCCAAAGTTTTCAAAGATCATTTTTTACACGAAATATGTAAAATACCGGCTCAAAAAAGGTACCATTTGAAAGATCACTTCATTTTCTATTGGAATAAAATAATAAGTTTGGAATTATTTTGCATCAATTTGGCAGGAGCACTCAGTACACAACAGTATAGAGCCGACTCGCTCGCCGCCGGGGGCCGGTGGGGCGCCAGCCGAATAAATGCTCTTTTTGTTGAAATCGTGTTTGCAGCAATAAAATACTGACTTGTAATGATCTCATTGTCTTGAAAAAGATTAGGCTCCAAATCTATGTTATAGTGATTGTACTCTGTTAATGTGGAGGTGTTTGGTGCACTTGGTACTCTTTTTAAGTCTGTCAAACATGGGGTTGCAGCCAGTTAATGACTTAAGCAAATTTGATATTTAAAACAGCTACCATTTTCTTAAAAATTGACTGAGAAGTTAAAGAACGGTATCAAAATTCTCAGGAGATATAGAACTTTCATATGGAACAAATAAATTTGGCATACAGCTACTTTGAAAATTTAGTTTCTGGTACCTACTTTTATCGGGAGTTCAATCATTACATGAAGAACTATCAAAATAGGCTGACTGGTTTTGATTTAATGATCCATTTAGAGATGTTTTTGTCATTTTCAGATTTAGTACCAAAATAGTGGGTTTACCCCCC